GCCGGCCCGGGCGGCGGCTCCTCTCGCTCCGAACAGGGCCTGCCACGTTGGTATCCTCAGCAGCTGTGACTCAGGCTGGGCCCCCGGCCAGGCCCAGTGTCTGAACATGTCAGCAGGCTCCCCTCGCCGCAGCCCTCCCTCCGGCATGAAGAGCCAGCTTTGTCTGGGGCAGGACAGCTGAGGCCTGGCGGCTCTGCAGGGAGATCTGATGGGCCTCAGACACCGAGCACGTGTGGCGGGTGGCACCCAAGAGAGAGGCACGTGGGAGCCGAGCGGTGCCTGCTGTGGGAGCCTGAGCCGGGCGGGGGCCGTGGGGGGCCGCGGGGGGGGGCTGCCATATGCTCCTCCGGGCGTGAAAGACATTGGGAGCCCACAGGCGGGTTTGAGGGAGCACTTTCCCCTGGGTTCCTCCTCCCCAGAGGGGGGAAGCCTCCCCACACCCTGCGGTTCCCCCACAGCGAGGCCAGGCCCGCAGGCCGGCCACAAAGCCTCCGGCGGTGGCTCCCTCTGGAGGGAGGAGGCGCCCTCCTGGCTGTGCTCACCGCCGGCGGCGGGGCGTGGGCAGGCGGCCTCACTGGGCCTCTGTCTCCCTCTCCTCCCGCGCCTCCGAGCCCCCCGCCCCCTGCCTGCGCCGCGCCGTGGTCTGTGCTCCGTCTGTCCGCTGGGAGTGTCCTCAGGTGCCCGGGTGTCCGAGCCGCCCCCTTTCTAGGCCTCGGTTTCCCCGGCTGTCAGAGCGCAGGAGCTGGCCGGGAGGAAGGCCTGCTAGAAGCCCTGAGTGAATGTAGGACCCCCCCCCCCCCAGTGTCAGGGCGCCAGCCAGGGGGCATGTGGGAAAAGCCCCCGAGATGCAGTGCGAGTGGAAAGAGAGTGAATCAGCAGGTGAAGCAACAGCTGAACCCGTTTGGGAAGAGGATGGATGGGGGCGTTGGGGGGGCTGGCAGGGCTGAGGCGGGCTCCAGGTTGGGGCGGGATTTGGATGGACACAGACGGAGGGAGGAAGGGAGGGGGTATGTGCAGCGGGAGGGGTAGCTGGGGTGGCTCCAGGAGCTGCCCCATCCCATCCCTGGGAGGGCAGGAGAGAGCTGTTCCTGAGCCAGGAGGGCCAGCACGCCCTGCCCATCCACAGGGGGCGCTCTCTCCTGAGAGACAGGAAATGCCCCCTACCCTGCCTCTCCTCTCCCCACTTCTCCAGGGTCTCCCTTCAGTCATGGGGAACTCCATTGGCTGGTGAGGCTGAGGGGCTGAGGTGGGGCCTGCAGGGGCCCGGGGTGGAAGCTCCCCGTTCTTATTTTAGTCCCACCCTTGTCTCTGCTCCCCTCGGCCCAGGGGAGGAAATGGGGGCCTCCCTCGGGGCCCTAGCACGTTGCTCCCAGCAACCAGGCCCAAACAGGCCTGCGGCAGGCAGGCCCGGCTTCCATATCTGGCATCGAGCTCTGCTGCAGAGGGTGACTCAGCGGGAGGGTCACCCTGGGCCCCGTGCCCACCCAGCCCCTTAGCTCTGCCTCTCAGCTCCGTTCTTCCCCCAAAGCAGCCCCAGAGCCTGGCCAAGCCTCAGCCTCTCGGGCCCCAAGCCCTGGGCCCGGCCAGCCCGCTCCGGGCTCTCCTTTCTGCCTCGTGCTCTTCCTCCCGCTCCCCTGCCCCTCCCTACCCCCCCTCCTGCCCAGCTCAGATCTGCCAGCTGTGGGAAGAGTCGGCCGCAGGCAGCCCAGCCCTTCTTGCCTCACGAGGCCCCTGGGATGGAGCCGCTCCTGCGCTCGGGGACCCGGTGGATGCGAGGGGAGCGTCGCCCCTGCCCTGGCATGGTATGGGGCCGGGGCAGGACACGGGCAGAGCCAGGGTCTCTCCCCTGTGAGCACTAGAGGATTTCCCGACCCCTGGCCGGGCATTGTCTGCTGGGGATGAGTCAGTGCGGAGCCCCTGGTTCCCACCCTTCCCAGCTCCCCTCGCCCGCCCCGCCCTGTCCCCCTGCCAGCCGGCCTGGGACAGCACGTGCCCGGTTCTCCCCCTGCCGACCCCAGGGGGCGCCAGCACAGGCGGCTCCGCTGCTCTGGGGCCCAGTCCCTGGCCAGGGTCTGTCTGGGGTCTGGGCCGGACCTGGAGACCCCAACGGGCTGGGGCATGGCTGTGGGGGCCGGCGGGCGGGCGGGCGGCCGGGGCGGAGGGCAGGCCTGCGTGCGGCTCCTCACCGCAGAGCTGAGTCATGAGCCGTGAGTGATAGTGGCTTCTCCCCCCGCTGGGGGCTCCCAGGCAGCTGAGGAAACCGCAGGGGCCCTTCCCCGTTTCCCCCTCGGCTCCCGTTCCTCCTCCTCCTCCTCCTCCTCCGCCGGGCGCGGCTCGGTCCTTCGTGGCACCCGGCTCGGCCGATCCTCTAATTCCCCGGACGGCACGGGGCCGAGCCCCTTGGTTTCCTGGGGCCAATGTGCTGTGGCAGGCGCTGGGGCAGCACAGCCACCAGCTGTGAACTCAGCTCCCCGGGCCTCCGTTTCCTCCATCGCCTCGTAATAGCACCTTCCGGGCCCTGCCCCGGGCCCAGGCCACGCCGTGGGGAGACGGGGTGAACAGGGAGCCATTCAGAGCAGCACCGGGTACATGACCGGCTCCATCTGTGTTTGCTGATCTGATGCTCTTGTGGCGATAACCACTGCTCACACACACAGCCTTTGGGAGCGGCAGGAAGAGAGGGTTTAGACCGAAGGGAAGGTGCTCGCCGCGGTTCACCGTACGCTGCGGGGGGCTGCGCACGCTGCCAGGGGCTCCGCACTCTGCTTCCTGGGCCAGGGCTGCACAGGCAGGGCATTTCCCGGGGGAGCTGGAACTGTGCCTCTGGAGTCTGAGGTGAGGGAGCAGGACCAGGAAGAGATGCCTTGTTGAGTGTCTCCTGCAGGCATCGCTCTTTCCTGCGTCCCCAGCTCAGGCTGGCCGGCCGGGCGGAGCCCTCCCCTCCTGCCAGCTCCACGCCCGCCGGGACCAGGGCTTAGGAAGCAGCGAGGGGAGCCCTCCTGGACCCTGAGGCTTTGGGGCTTGCAGTGCTTGACACGGGGCCTTGGCCCTCCTCCTCTGTGCCCCAGTTTCCCTTTCTGTAAAAGGAGGGGGCTGAGCAGAACCCACTCCAAACTCCTCCTGAGTTCTCTGCACCCCGAGAGCTCCCAGTCCTGCCAGCAGGGTAGAGAGGCTGCTTCTGGGAAGCCCGGGCCAGCCCTGGAGTCGGGTCAAGGCCCTCGGAATCCGTCTGCCTTGTCTTCGCTTCACCAGCGGTTCCTCTCCCCGCTCCCTCCTCCCCCTGCAGCTGCCTCGGCCTCGCTTCGGAAAAGTTCTGAAGTCATGGAAAGTTGGGGCTGAGCTCCCAGCCAGGGGCTGGGCCGGATGGCGGCCAAAACCTGAGCTGGGTTTTGACTTTATTTTTAGCTTTTCGGGCCGAGACGGAGGAGGAGGAGGAGGAGGAGGAGGAGGAGGAGGAGGAGGAGGAGGGGACCTCCTTCGGTTCTGGGAGGGCCTCCTTTCACCGGACACAGACACGGGGCATTAGGCAGCTTGTCGTGAGGTGTGGCCAGAGGCCTGACAGGAGCAAGCATGCCGACCGGGGGGGACACACACACACACACTCACATCCTTCCCGGGCCGGCCTGGCTGTCCCCCCCCCCCCCCCCCCCCCCCGCCCCGCCGCGCCCAGGGGAGCCGGTGGAGGGGAAGTGGCTCCTGTTGGGATCTGCGAAGGTGGCAGTGCTGCCTCGGTCTTGGCTGGTCTTGGCCTCTGCCTCCGCGCGGCCTCCCGTCTGGCCTCTCCCGCCTGCCTCCCAGCGAACTGTGGCTGAGTTGGCGCTTTTGTGGGGGAGAAGAATGTTGGCGGGGCGCTTTCCCCTTTCCAGGACGGAATATTCCCCTGCCTACGTTCGGTTTTCTTTGTTTCCATCTGCCCCGGTGGGATGTGTTCAAGGCCTGATGGGTTACAGATGGCAGACGGGCCGGGCCCTGGGCCCTCCCCCACCCCCTGGGCCTGAACCCTTTCTGTCACCAGACATCGCGAAAGGACTAGAACATCTGGAGACTCCTTGGATCCCCCAGGGTTTTTTTTGTTTTTTTTTTGTTTTTGTTTTTAAGAACATAGGACCCTCTATTTTTCCAGTTCACTATCCAGCAGAAATAACCAGGGGCCCAGAAAGGGGAGCGGGGGACAGAGGCCGCCTGTTGGCCCGGTTCTAGCTGGAGCTTTCCCTGCCTTGAGGAGCCGGGAGGTCATGTCTGGAGCCAGATGCTGAGGCGATAACCACTGCTCCATACATAGGGGTCCGCATTCCTTAGGGCTCTGAGGAGGCCCAGGAGGGAGGCTGGGAGCCTCGTGCTCTGCCCAGATCACGGGACCCAGACTGAGTCTGAGAAAGAAGGAAGGGTTCATACCTCGCCTGGTTGTCCTCACCCCAGGCCTCCCTGAGTTCTACCCAGGCGTACCCCGCAGTCCCCAGAGTGTCACAGGGACTAGAGGGGGGTGACTTACACCTTCAGGGTCCAAACTGAGCACCACGAGGGATGCACAAACCTCAGGGCTGGGAATCTGGGGGTGGGGGCGGGGGCCTGGCTGGATGAAAGGCGGGTGGAGTCGGGGAGGAGAAGGTTAAGGCCCCAGTGTGGGAAGGGGTGAGAGACAAAGGTGGCCCTGTTTCTTTGGGAAGGAGGGGAGAAAGGGAAAAGCATATGCATTCATCTCACAGGATCCAGCTTTGCCTTGGCCCCAGGCACGTTCCTGAGCCCTGAGTCATGGGAAGGGTGGAGAAGCAGGAGAGGGGTTTGGGGGACTTTGGAGGAAGTGGGAGTCCAGCCTCACAGGCAGGCAGATGCCAACAAACCAAATCCCAGGGTGCCCTCTGCTGGCAGTGGGAGGGATAGCAGAGCCAGGCCCCACAGCTGACCTCTGGGGACGTGACCTCTCAATCTCTCTAGGGAACCTGGCTCTCTCTAGGGACACCGACTCCTCCCCTTAAACTCTTTCTTCCTCGCTCCTTCAGCAATACCAAAAAGGAGGGAGACCTGATGGCCGCCCAGGCCCGCCTCAAGGACCTGGAGGCTCTGCTCAACTCCAAGGAGGCCGCGCTGAGCACGGCGCTCAGCGAGAAGCGCACGGTGGAGAGCGAGCTGCACGACCTGCGGGGGCAGGTGGCCAAGGTGAGACCCGCGCCGGGCCGGCCCGTGACCCCCGGGGCCCCAACGAACGCACTCATTCTCCTCTCCCGCTGGCTCTCTGGAGGTGCCTGACCTCACCCGTCCCAGCCTCAGAGCCACGCACCTGTCCCAGCACCATTTCAGCCCATCCGGACCCCATTTCCTCTCTGTGCTGCCCATGGCAATCTAGCGGAGTGAATGTGAAACATTCCACAAGCATTCCCGTCTAACGTTAAGTCGAACTGTGCTTGGCCTTGGACTTCCTCCTGTCCCGGTCTGGCCTTCTGATAAAGAGCTGCAGCCTCTCGTGGGGACAGCAGCGGCGTGCAGACCCTCCACAGAACCCACAGTCAGGAGCTGATGTTCATCACACATAGGACACATGTTCTATGGTGTATATATGGTGGTCTTTACCTTCTTTTTTTTAAATTCTGAAACCTTTTTTATTTTATTTTAAATATGTTTTATTGATCTTTTTACAGAGAGGAAGAGAGAGGGATAGAGAGCCAGAAACATCGATGAGAGAGAATTATCGATCAGCCGCCTCTTGCACACCCCCCACTGGGGACGTGCCCGCAACCAAGCACATGCCCCTGACCGGAATCGAACCTGGGACCCTTCCGTCCGCAGGCCGACGCTCTATCCACTGAGCCAAACCGGTCTCGGCTTTACCTTCTTTTTTTATTTTTGTATTTTATTTTATTTTATTAATACATTTTTATTGATTTTTTTACAGAGAGGAAGAGAGAGGGATAGAGAGTGAGAATCATCGAACAGCTGCCTCTTGCACACCCCCTACTGGGGATGTGCCTGCAACCAAGGCACATGCCCTTGACCGGAATCGAACCTGGGACCTTTCACTCCGCAGGCTGACGCTCTATCCACTGGGCCAAGCTGGTTTCGGCTCTTTTTATTTTTTTATAAGATTTTTTTTGGTGTGCTGCAGAATTTTAATCATTAGTTTCTTTATTTTTAAATATATTTTTATTGATTTCAGGAAGGAAGGGAGAGGAACAGAGATAGATGATGTTTTTATCAGCTGCCTCATGCACGCCCCCTACTGGTATTGAGCCCAAAACCCGGACATGTGTCCTTGACCAGAATCAAACTCAGGACCCTTCAGTCCGAAGGCCAACGCTCTATCCACTGAGCCGAACCAGCTAGGGCTACTTTCTTTTCTTTTTTAAAAAATTTTTATTTGTTGGTTTGAGGGAGAGAGAGAATCATGGATGTGTTTTTCTGCTTATTTACGCATTCCCTTGGTCGTTTCTTGTTGTGTCTTGACGAGGGACTGAGCCTTGGTGTATCTGAACGGAGCTCTGACTGACGGAGCTATCCACCAGGGCTGGCCTTTGCTTTCAGAAACTGTTCATCCTCTAATCTCTCACGTCACCGTCCAGGAAACTATTTAAAAAGCTGGCTTCCTGTCAGCGTCACAGCCCCATCTCCCAGAGCAGCTGCCAAGATTCGGTCTGGCCTGCCTCCCCTCCCGGGCGCTACCACCACAGCACACCCTGGGAGGGATGGGGAGGTGCTGGCTGACTACAAAACCAAGACGGGGCCAGGCTCCTCCTGGGTCTCCTTCCAGCTCTACCCGCACCCCCCAGCCCTTCTCAGCCGCCCTGCCAGCCTGCGCTTCCTGAGATGAAAACCTATCAAAGATCCCAAAACTGGTTTGGCTCAGTGGACAGAGCGTCGGCCTGCGGACTGAAAGGTCCCAGGTTCGATTCCGGTCAAGGGCATGTACCTTGGTTGTGGGCACCTCCCCAGTAGGGGGTATGTAGGAGGCAGCTGATTGATGTTTCTCTCTCATCGATGTTTCTAACTCTCTCTTCCTCTCTAAAAAATCAATAAAATAAATAAATTTAAAAAAAAAACTAACAAAGATGCTTCCCTGCTCACCCTGCCAGCACAGCCACCTCTCCATCACTCCGCTGACCCCTGACCTCCTAAGACCCTGAAGTTCACATGAGCCTTCCTACCTCCCTGCCTCTGCACAGCTCTTCTCTGCCCCCCAGTGTCCCTCCCCAGGCCCCACTAACCGTCCTCAGACCCTCCTCTGCCACCTCGGACACACTTTGGTTCCTCCTCTCCTGCTCCCTAAAGATGTGGGACAGACTGCTTTTACAGCTACGCTGTGTTATGCCAGAGGGGGCAGTTGATATCCCTTATTTCTTACCAAGTTCCTACCCGGAGTCCTGAGTGAGGAGATACCCTCACCTCCGTGGGCCTTCCCGGCTCTCCCTCCCTGGACCCTGTCTCACACACACACACACAGGGATGGATGCCCTGGGGACAAACAGCCCACTCCCCGGCCTCCTTCCAGCCCTGTGACCCCTCCCCCTGACGCCTGCCCCTTCCCCCAGCTGGAGGCCGCCCTGGGGGAGGCCAAGAAGCAGCTCCAGGATGAGATGCTGCGACGGGTGGACGCGGAGAACAGGCTGCAGACGCTGAAGGAGGAGCTGGACTTCCAGAAGAACATCTACAGCGAGGTGGGCACCGCGCCCTCGGCGGGGCCGGGCCGGACGGACACCGGGGCTGGGGCCGGAGGGTCGGCTGTGTGCGGAGCTCACCTGCCGGCCTCCCTGGCACTAGCGGGGGGGTGGGGGGGCCATCACCCAGCTCCAGGTTAAAGAGGGGCCGACAGTGGCTCACCGCCTTAGAACTGGGGGGCCGTAGCCTCTAAGGACCTCGTTCTCACTTTGATTTCGGCGTCTCGCCCTCCAGGAGCTGCGTGAGACCAAGCGCCGCCACGAGACCCGGCTGGTGGAGATCGACAATGGGAAGCAGCGGGAGTTTGAGAGCCGGCTGTCGGACGCCCTGCAGGAGCTGCGGGCCCAGCACGAGGACCAGGTGGAGCAGTACAAGAAGGACCTGGAGAAGACCTACTCTGCCAAGGTGCCGCCTCTGCCCGCCCCGGGGCGTCCCACGGGGGAGCGGGTGGACGCAGGGCGTGGGGAGGGGCTCAGGGTGCCCAGGGCCTGTGGCTGCAGTGGCGGTGCCTTCCCGGGTCCTCCCTCCCTCCCTCCCCTGCCGCCCTCACCCTGGGCCTCCCCTCCAGCTGGACAACGCCAGGCAGTCCGCCGAGAGGAACAGCAGCCTGATGGGGGCGGTGCACGAGGAGCTGCAGCAGTCCCGCATCCGCATCGACAGCCTCTCGGCCCAGCTCAGCCAGCTGCAGAAGCAGGTGCGCCCGCCCGCCCGCCCGCCCGCCCGCCCGCCCGCGGCCAGGGCCGGCGGGACGGAGGCGGCAGCCCCGGGGGGCTTCCTGAGGAGGGGCGCGGTGAGGGAGGCACAGAACACGCTCCCCGGACCACAGGCTTTGGAGTTAGATGACCTGCTAGCTGTTCCCGGACTGCCTCTTCCCTCACCCGTGTGACCTCCATTTCTCAGAGCCTCGTTCCCATTGGAAATGGGGTCCGCCTGAGATATCCCTCTGGCTGGTGAGAGCGTCGGCCCGTGCACCGAAGGGTCTCGGGTTCGATTCCTGGTAGAGGGCTCATGCCTGGGTTTCGGTCCCCAGCCCCGTAGGGGTGCACGCGGGAGGCAGCAAATCGATGTGTCTCTCGCACATCAGCGTTTCTCTCTTCCTCTCTCTCCCTCTTCGCCTCCTTCTCTTTTCTTCTCTTCCTCTCTCCCTGCTCCCTTCCAGTCTCTCTAAAAACCAGTGGGAGGAATGTCCTCCGGTGAGGATTAACAAACAGAGGCATCCGGGTTACGCTAGCGGTCTGTGCCACGTGTGACCGAAGAAATGGGCTCAGAACGAGGGGTTTCAGTGAGATGCCGGGAAGGGCCTCCGGGTCGCCAGCCCAGGCCACGCTAGAGGCCACGGGAGTGTCTTCTGGGCGCCTGGCGTCCCCGGGGCGTGTGGCTGGGTGTTCCCCGCCCCTTACCTGTCCACGCTCGGGGGGGGGGGGGGCCCGGGGCGCTCACCGGCCCTGCCTCCCTCACCCAGCTGGCAGCCAAGGAGGCGAAGCTGCGGGACCTGGAGGACCAGCTGTCCCGCGAACGGGACACCAGCCGCCGGCTGCTGGCCGAGAAGGAGCGGGAGATGGCGGACATGCGGGCGAGGATGCAGCAGCAGCTGGACGAGTACCAGGAGCTGCTGGACATCAAGCTGGCGCTGGACATGGAGATCCACGCCTACCGCAAGCTGCTGGAGGGCGAGGAGGAGAGGTGGGCTGGGCCGGCGGCGGCGGCGGCGGCGGCGGCGGCGGGAGGTGCTGGTGGCCGCTCTGGCCTGTGGCCGGCCTTGACCTCTGTCTTCTCCCCCCCCTCCCCCCCCAGGCTCCGCCTGTCCCCCAGCCCCACCTCGCAGCGCAGCCGCGGCCGCGCCGCCTCGCACTCCTCGTCCCAGTCCCATGGCGGCGGCGGGGGCAGCATCACCAAGAAGCGCAAGCTGGAGGCCGCCGAGAGCCGCAGCAGCTTCTCGCAGCACGCCCGCACCAGCGGCCGCGTGGCCGTGGAGGAGGTGGACGAGGAGGGCAAGTTCGTGCGGCTGCGCAACAAGTCCAACGAGGTAGGCGCCCCGGCGGGGGTGAGGGGTACGGAGGGGCGGAGGGGCCCTGGCCCGTGTGGCTCCGTGGATAGCGCCTCGGCCTGCGGACTCAAGGGTCCCAGGTTCCGTTCCGGTCCGGGGCATGCACCGTGGTGGCGGGCACATCCCCGGTGGGGAGTGTGCAGGAGGCAGCTGATGGATGTTTCTCTCTCATCCACGTTTCTAACTCTCTATCCCTCTCTCTTCCTCTCTGTAAGAAAAAAAAAAAAATCAATAAACTGTATTTAAAAGAAAGAAAAGAAAGGTGAAGGGGTGAAGGGTGGAGAGAGGCAGACCCAGGAAGTGTGTGTGTCTCTCCCCCACACACTGGTCTTAGACCTGTGAGCGTCCGTCTCCGCGTCTGTGAAATGGGGGTGAAGCGTAGTCCCTGACTCTTGAGTTGTGGAGAAGGAGAAAGTAGGCGTGTGGCAGGGTGCCCATGGGTCGCAGCTGTCCGCCTGGAGGGGGAGGGCAGAGGAGGAGGGGGAGGGAGAGGCCCCCACGCGTGCCCGGCTGGGCCCTTGAGCGATACGAATCAGGAGCCCGGGCAGCACCCTCCACCTTCCTGTCCCCTCCCCGCCCCTCCCGGCAGGACCAGTCCATGGGCAACTGGCAGATCAAGCGCCAGAACGGAGATGACCCCCTGCTGTCCTACCGCTTCCCGCCCAAGTTCACCCTGAAGGCCGGGCAGGTGGTGACGGTGAGTAGCGGGCTGCCTGGCCCCGGGGACGGGGACCCGCCGGCCTCGGGGGAAGGGGGGGGCCTGGAGTGAGCGCCCTTCTCCGATCCTCTCCCTCCAGATCTGGGCTGCCGGCGCGGGGGCCACCCACAGCCCCCCGACCGACCTGGTGTGGAAGGCGCAGAACACCTGGGGCTGCGGGAACAGCCTGCGCACCGCGCTCATCAACTCCAACGGCGAGGTGAGCGCGCTGGGGCCGCCCGCGCCCTGTGCCCGTCCTGTGCCCGCGCCCCGGGGCCTACACTCCGGGGGGCGCCCCAGGACGGTGGAGAGCCCTTTGCCCCCAAGCAGAGGAAGCCAATTCAGGGCCACGTTCTTCTGTCTCTGAGGCCCTCAACGCTCCCCCAGGGAACCAAAGGAGGCCCCTCCGTCAGCCTGTGTGGTGGGAGTTAGACGGGAGGATTGTGAAAGGCACAGAGCCACCTTCCTGCCCAGACAGCTGCACAGTGTTTCTCTGGGGTAGAAACCAGTTCCTTAGCTCCAGCTCCCCTCCCTCTGTCCTCCCGCACCCCTCTCCCCCGCCTCCAGAGGGTGGTGGGGAGAGACAAGTAGGCAGCAGGCTGGACCAAGGGCAGAGCACGGAAAGCCTCTTGGGTGGTCCCTGGGGGTGGGTGCCCCGCACCCCTCCCCGGCCCCACCCCTCACGCTGGGCCTGGCCCCCCGCGTGCCCGACAGGAGGTGGCCATGCGCAAGCTGGTGCGCTCCGTGACCGTGGTGGAGGACGACGACGACGAGGACGGAGACGACATGCTCCATCACCACCACGTGAGTGGCAGCCGCCGCTGAGGCCCCGCCCGCCCGCCCGGGGCAGCCCGCCCGCCCGCCCGCCGGGCCAGCCCCGCGGCCTCCCCATGCCAAAAATCTCTTCATTAAAGAATGTTTTGGAACTTCACGTGCTGCCCTGGCTTTTCTTCTCTCTCCTCCCTGTGCCTGGACCAGGGGGCCGGGTGTCGGGGTGCCCTCCTCTGGTTAGAGAAGGGAGCGGGCACGCTGACGCCATGGTGCATTCCCACGGGGGCAGGGGACAGGGTCCGGAGTGCTCTCCTGGGGAGGGGGCGGGAGGACAGACGCGGGGCTCCCGGCCCTGCCTCCCCCCCCCCGTTTCTGTTGCATGCCTGCCCTTCCTTCCCCGTTTTCTGGCAAGAACGTGCTCTCTCCCTCCCGCCCTCTCCGGTTGATTTTGCATGCCTGCTGCTCTCTCCGCTCCCTCTTAAGCTCAGAGTAGCTGGGACCGGCCACGCCACACTCCAGTTCCTAGTCCTGCAGTCTTCCTGAGCCTTCCCCCTTTTCACCCCTCCCCTCCCCTCCCCCTGCTCCCAGCCCGGCCTCGGCCTCGGGGGGCCCTGGGGCCGCCCTCTGGCCCCTGGAGGACGAACCCCTCCTTCCCGCCTGGAGCTGGGGGTTAGGCCTACGCAGTCAGTCAGCCCCACACTCGCCGGAGCCCCTGAGCCTTGTCTCCCTCCTCAGGGAACCCACTGCAGCGGCTCGGGGGACCCCGCCGAGTACAACCTGCGCTCCCGCACGGTGCTGTGTGGGACGTGCGGGCAGCCGGCCGATAAGGCGCAGGCCGGCGGCGCCGGAGCCCCGGTGGGCGGATCCATCTCCTCTGGCTCCTCCTCCTCCAGCGTCACGGTCACCCGCAGCTACCGCAGTGTGGGGGGCAGTGGGGGTGGCGGCTTCGGGGACAGCCTGGTCGCCCGCTCCTACGTCCTGGGCAACTCCAGTCCCCGGACCCAGGTGAGCTGTCTCTCTTTGTCTCCACGCCCCCACGGGCAGAGCACCCCGGTCCTCGGGGTGAGGACAGGATGGCCTGGGAGGGGAGGACAGCCTTCTCTCCCGCAGCCCGGGGCAGTGGGAGCCTCCCCACAGCCCGGCCCGGGGTCCCGGGCAGTCCCACCTGCCTCCTGCCCCTCCGGTCTGAGCCCCAGACTGGAGGGCGGGGCGGGCTGGGGGCGAGGATGAGGAGGGAGGGGAGGGCCAGGCATGGCGGCTCACACGTCTCTCTTCCCTCCCAGGCCGCCCAGAACTGCAGCATCATGTAAGCTGGGACCTGCCGGGCCGAGGCGGGGCCGCGGGCCGCCTGCTTCCCCCTCGCCTCGCGCCCACCCCATCCCTGCACCTCAGGGCGGGGCCTTGAAGCCAAAGAAAAAGACCCCTTTGGTGTTTTTTTTTCTTCTGCGTTTTGTGTTTTTTTTTCTAAGAGAAGTTATTTTCTACGGTGGTTTTATACTGAAGGAAGAACACAACCAAAAAAAAAAAAAAAAAAGCATTTATCTCAGTCTGCCCTGCATTCCCCCAGCTTTCAGGAAACACCGTATTTGCCTTAAACACCAAAGACGGCTCCGCCAGGGGCCGAGGGAGAGGGTGCTTTTACAGAGCCGAGGCCCTGCTTTGCTGCCTGCCTGCAGCCCCCACCCGGGGCCTGGGAACACGGGGCCTGAGGGGCAGCTGTGCAATCCTCTGTGCCGCCTTCCCGGCCCTGGCCGGCCCCGACCTCCCGGTGGCCTGGCCGAGCCCACGCCCGCCCCCAGCCCCGCGTGACCGATTCTCCCAGGCCCCAGCTGCGCTTGCTTTTTTTTTTTTTTTTTGTATTTTATGAGACAAGAGATGGGAATGAGGTGAGCGGTCAGGGAGGGGGAAGAAGGGTTCGTTGGGTCCTGCTTCCGCCCAGCTGTAGCGTCAGAGTGGGGTCTGCAGGTCCCTGGAGGTTGAGGTCAAGTGGATGCAAGGAGAAGGGAAAGGGAGGCTCACGGGGTCAGGTGAGCGCCTGAGGGCCCCCCGCGGAGGGCGGTGAGAAGGGGCGGGAGGGGGGTGTGTGTGGGGCGGTCGTTTTTGGCAAACACTAAAGATCCCCTTGGCTCCCCATCCCCCATCTGCACCCCTTCTCTCCTCCAATCAATACACTAGTTGTTTCTACTCCTGCCTCTGTGGTGTCTTTGTGGGTGCGCGTCGCGTCGCCGTGTGCTCTGAGGGGCAGACAGACACACACACACACGCATGGCACAGTCACCAGCATCCTCATGTTCACTGCTGCCCGACTCCCTCCCCCCCGCCCCCTCCAGGGGGACAAGCACCCCGGGTACACATTATGTCCGCTGTGGGCAGAGGCTGTGGCATAAGCAACACTCACCCCCTTGGGGGGGCCCCCCCTTCACCCCACAGCAGTTACCCAGCACCTCCTTCCTCCTGGGCATGTGGGCCCGGTCTGGGGGTGGTGGCATCTCGGGGAGCAGAAGCTAGGGAGGCCACAGGAAGGGGGTAGGACTGACTGCAAACGCCCAGATAATGCCCCCTTTGTGCCGTGCTCTGCTCAGGCTGGCAGAGGAAGTGAACCAGACGGCACCTGCAGTGTCCTCAGGGGACTTACACTCCGCCGAGAGCCAAAAGACAGGATTCCTGTGGATTGCTGTGGACGGGGGACGTGCCAGGCAGAGCCGCGAGGGGGCGGTGGTTTATAATCGGGGGCATGGGGAGCCGGGACTAAGGAAAAGGGCCTCCAAAAAGAACGTGAGCCGTGCTAACCAGCCTTTCCGCGGCCCTTTGTGCACCCCAAAGCGCCTCTGCCCGTCCATGTGACCCTCTGCCCGTCCATGTGACTCTATGCCCATCTCATGTGACTCTCTGCTCGTCTCATGTGACCCTCTTCCTGTTCTGAGAGGCAGTTACTGTCCCCTTTGCCCCTGGACACGGGGACTCAGGTAACTTGCCCAGGGCCACACAGCTCTGGGCAAGCCAGGGGGTCTGCTCCCAGGGCATGCCACTGCCCCTCAGAACACAAAATACTAATGATAAAATATACATTCCCTGGGCAGAGTTTTGTGCCTGCTTTCAAGTCAGTGTGAGAAAGTATGCTGGGGAGGATGGGAAAACATACTGGAAAAAGCAAAATAAGAGCAGATGATGCCAACACCGGTTTGGCTCAGTGGATAGAGCGTCGGCCTGCGGACTGAAAGGTCCCATGTTTGATTCCGGTCAAGGGCATGTACGTTGGTTGTGGGCACATCCCCAGTAACGGGTGTGCAGGAGGCAGCTGGTCGATGAGTTTCTCTCATCGATGTTTCTAGCTCTCTATCCCTCTCCCTTCCTCTCTGTGGAAAATCAATTAAAAAAAAAAAAAAAAAAAAAAGAGCCTCTGAATTCATGCTGGAAACCCGTTCCCCCGGCTGGGAGAGGGGTTCTGAGAGGCAGAGGCCCCGCCTCCGGCGGCAGCTTCAGAGAAAGAAGCCACCCACCCCCACCGGTGGCTCAGGGGGGAGCGTCCACCGCGAACCAGGCTGTCGCCGTGGGAGCTCCCTCTGGGCGCCTGGTTGTGGCTGGAACCTGGCTGTGGCTGGATCCCCAGTAGAGGGCGTGCAGGAGGCAGCCGATCATCACTGATGTTTCTTCCTCCCTTTCCTTCCTCTCTGAAATCAAATACACAGCTATCTTCTTTTAAAAAAGGAGAGCAGGGACGGTTTGGCTCAATGGATGGAGCGTCGGCTTGGGGACTGAAGGGTCCCGGGTTCGATTCCGGTCAAGGGCATGTATACCTTGGTTGCAGGCACATGCCCAGTAGGGGGTGTGCAAGAGGCAGCTGATCGATGACTCTCATCGATGTTTCTAGCTTTGTATCTCTCTCCCTTCCTCTCTGTACAAAATCAATAAAAATATATTTAAAAAAAAAATTTAAAAAGGAGAAAGAAACCCCTCTCCCAGGCCTGGACAAGGACCCTGCGGCCCTGGTAGGTCTTGGACATCAGGGAAGGAGACCCATCTTCTGGGGGCGCTTACATGCACTTCCAGGTCTGGACACCCGGGGGCGCCAGAGCCCCGCCGTGGCCAGCAAGGGGATGGCTCTGGCTCTGAATGAAAGAGGAAGCCTTCCGGAGGCCGTGGGCTGGGCAGACAGCGCGACCAGCAGGCGAGGTCCCTGTTCTTGAAGGGACCTTGTCCGCTGCTGCAAGCTGGTCACTCCATGACAGGACACCCCTCAGCAGGCCACGTGGGATTATTTAAAATATGCATAGAAGCCGAAACCGGTTTGGCTCAGTGGATAGAGCATTGGCCTGCGGACTGAAAGGTCCCAGGTTCGATTCCAGTCAGGGGCATGTACATTGGTTGCCGGCACATCCCCGGTGGGGGATGTGCAGGAGGTGGCTGGTCGATGTTTTTCTCTCATCGATGTTTCTAGCTCTCTATCTCTCTCCCTTCCTCTCTGTAAAAAATCAATAAAAAAATATTTTTAAAAAAAGAAGAAGCAGAAGTAGGGGGAAAAAGAGTCCCCCCTTTTCCAACGCCCAGAGGCACCCACTGATGGATTTCCTCCCAACGTTTTTTCCTGAGCATTTACTATGGAGTTAAAATCTCACTGTGGCTCAGCATTTGGTTAAATGCTCTTTTTCTAGTTAGAATGCATAAGCACTTTCCAATGTTATTTCAAAGTTTATAAACATTGTTTAAAAATAACGGATTCTTGTTCCGTCGGTTTCATGGAAGTAATACTTTGGCATTTCAGAGAGGGTAGAAAAGGAGCAAGAAAAAAAAACAAAACCATCTCAGTGGAAACCATCATGAACTTTATAACGGGAGGCTTCGAGCATTTTATTTTTCAATTTTGAAATATATACGACATTTACCATTTCTTACTGGTTGTTATACGTAATGCTTCCTGGAATGTACTGTACATCTTTACACATCTCTCTGGGAATTTCCATGAAATAAATTCTAAGCAAGGGACTGGTTGACTCAGAGTTACACACAGTAAAAAAGGGGCCGTTGGTAATATTTCCAAGGGAAATGGGGCCCACACCCCCTCACATTTCTTCGAAAGCCACAAGTTTTGTCAGGTTTTTAAAAATACGTATTATATTGATTTTTCACAGAGAGGAAGGGAGAGGGAGAGAAAGTTAGAAACATCAAAGAGAGAAACATCGACCAGCTGCCTCCTGCACACCCCCTATTGGGGATGTGCCCGCAACCAAAGTACATGCCCTTGACCGGAATCGAACCCGGGACCTTTCAGTCCGCAGACCGACGCTCTACCACTGAGCCAAACCGGCTTTGGCTGCTCATTTTTTTTTTATGGCCAAGAGTATCTTCTTCATGTTGGTTTTTAAGACCATATGTATTATATAAACACACTTTTTCACGGCGGGATGTTTAGACCACATTTCCTGTCATCCCCCTCTGGACATTTCACTCATTCCCAGTTTTACTTTGTAAATGACGCTGCGGTGGATGCCTTTTCTTTAAACATTTCAGGTGTTTTCTTAGGATGGAATCCCAACGAGTCCCCTGATGACTGGTCTTTAAATTCTCTTCACTGCCCTCAGCCCTTCCGTGGCCAGAACTAAAGGGAAGGCCATTTTTCTTTTCCCCCGTCACCACCCTCACAACCTGTGAGGGTGTAGGTGAGGGAGGGATGAGGCAGGATCCGTGGGTGCCTCGGTGCACCCTGTTCTGCCCCCGGAGGACAGAGAAAACAAGATGTGGAGAGGTGTGTGGGAGCCTCTTGCTCTCACCCCCCTGGAGTGACTGAGGTGCTGGCCACACACACACACACACACCCGGGGCCAGGCCTCAGCCCCTTACAATCCTTGGGCCGATTCTCCGTGCTTAGTACCTGCCAGTGCCAGCTGGCAGCTCTTACCGGAGACTGAGGTGGCACAAATATGGGAGAAGGCGGGGGGGAGTGGGCAGGGGCCCAAAGGGACCAAGATGCAGGAGGTGGTAGTCAGAAGCTGGGTGCCCAACATGGGGGTCACACAGGAAGATGGAAAGGCCAGACTGAGGAGTCAGGCTTCGAGGGGCATCGAGGCGGTGCCAGGCCCCTCCTCCGGCCCTCCTGCCCCTGGAGAAGCTAATCTCCCCGCCACCCACTCTCCTCTGCACCCACCCCCTTGAGCTCCTCCTGACGAATTCATCTTGGTCCCTTTAAGAGCTGCCTGGGAACTGGGGCACCGGAGGGGGCTGGCAGGGCCCCCCCCGCCTTCCCTGCCCTGCCATGCCCGCCTCGCCTCTGCTCCTCCCCGGACTGGTACAGCTCTGCGGGAAGTCTTGGACGGACGCCTGGGTTAGGGTCTCCACTGCTGGGCTGGGGGTAAGGCTTGCAAGTGGCGGGAGCGAGGGACCACGGTCCCTGTATGGGCTGGGGATGTGGGGTGCCAGTGGATGATGTGGGGGGCCCTGGCCGGGTGGTCCTCTGGCCTCAGACCGGGGCAGGGGCAGAGGATCTTGAGGGGCAGAGCCTAGGGGGCAGGATGGGTGGGTCTCCTCACCCTCCACACCCCCATCTCATTCCCCAGGACCCTCACTCGCTACACTCCACCAGCCGCCCCCGTCCCGCCTGCAGTGTAAGACATAGGGCCCTGACACGCCACCTTCTCACAGGTGGGGAAACTGAGGCTCGGCGAACCAGAGGACAGGGAAGGGTGTGTGCGGCGGCGGAGGGAAGGGGATTGGGCTGCAGAAAGTCTCCCTCCTCTGCACCCACAGACCTGGCTACAGGGGACTGGGTGTCCGGCTGCCCAGCCAGCTCCTGCCCACAGCCATGGCCGCACCGGGGCCAGGTCCCCTCCCTCCATCCCTCCCTCCCTCTCAGGACAGCTCAGCACCGCCCTGGAGCCGTGGGTTTCCCTGTGTCT